GTTAGACTACATTAACCATTAAATACAAATTGATAATCGGACAGTAGTATTGCATAGCAGTTGGTTGTCGGGTGGGTGTAAACAATTTTACAAATGCACCTCATTTGACGCAGATTTACACTCGAACCAAACCATTTTTCTGTTTTTTTCCCTTTTCGGTTATTTCTGTCCATGATTGGATAGGTCAAAAGGTCAAAAACCGCCACCCCCAAACTAAAGGAAATAAGTTTTTTATCCGACATCGATCTTTTGACGTCGTCACTTAATAGGCAGTTTATCGGACTGTCTTGAAATTGTTGATGATCTTGATCTTTTCAATATCACACATATTCATTATTGCTATTTCAACCCTAACAGTCAGCCCAATCAGAGAGCAACGTCTTTATTGACAGGTTGGGGATTGTTACTTGTGATGATGTCATAAAAGTTGAACGGTTCGTTACAGACTTTATAAAAATACACTTAATGAGCTGTTTCGAATGCATCAAATTCCGGGATACAGGGGGACGATTGTGAAGACATCAAGTTTGTGTAGAAACAAGTCGTTTTTGAATTAAACTTAAACAAAATTAATATTCGAATATACTAGTTATCATAATGAAAAGAATAACGCTTGCCAGACAACATGTGTTAAATGTATATGTATATGTATGGAGTGAACACATTTCGTAAATGGCAAAAGAATTGTTTACACAGTTCTACACAAAACTTGAATCAAAAATCAACTACGTGCTGTATATTTACATTTGTTAAGAAAATGCCTGAATCATCCATCCCCGCCATACCGCATAGCAATGGCTATGCTTAGAATGTCACTGCCTTCAAATTGAAAAGGATCGGGCGAGCGTATCCAATGACGTATACATTATATTACTATTTTCGCGTATGAGAGAATACGACGTATTTCAAATGCAAAGTCTGCGTGAACACATCTAACGTATACAAATTATGTATCCACGATCCCCTGTGATGGAGGGACTGTGATGTATCCAAACTCATAGTAGCTGATAAAATTAGGAAGTAGGGTAAGTGAATAACAACGAATATACGACAGGGTACTATGGTAATCTAAGTAAACATGTATTGCGTGCGTGACTCAAACCCACGCACACGTTATGTGACGGCTTGTCTTCACTTTGGCCACCCAGGATCCCCCAAAGACGCTTAATAACCAAGCTCCGTGAAACCCGTCCAGGTTGACCCACTTATCATAGCGTGGTCAGGAATTGACGCAAAGCTTTTCTGATTTGCCTGTACAGATGGCGAGACATCTAAAAACTAACGGTACATCACTTATTGTTAACCAATCACGTACTGGGAGGTTGTTGCTATTGTCTTGATTCCGTATTTCAACGTTCTACAAAATCAATCATATTCACGTCTACCTACAACCATTGACTGACGTCATAATTTATAATTTCCGTTCTTTCCAATAATACCAGGAGTTGATTCAAGGATAATTTGTCATCGTTGTCATGGATATGCACGGCTGTCATCAAAAATTCCCATATGTACACATAATTAATTTGATGAATAAATAATTGGATCTCGTAGCATTAAAACAGTTCTTGCTTTACGGACAATCCTTAATCCGCTGTATATCGTCGTTGTTACAGGCCTCTCTCTCTGTAAAGTAAGTTTTTTTTTTATTCACTATGTGTTTTTTGATGCGGTTCAGGAGATTCCTAGAAGTTATGCTGACAATTCGCAGCATTTGTAAATTCGTATTTGTCATTCGGGAAACTAAGTGTGTTACTTTCATGCGAATAATTTTAAAAATAACTTTAGTGTATTTAATATGGGTGGTGCGGCAGCTTCGAATTTCGTGTAAACAGTGTATTCTATAAACGTCGGACACGACGCGCTGTGACGAACACGGCACTTCAAAAGTTACATCGCAGTTGTCCCAGTGAGCAACGTAGTCATGTGTCTCATGTTGTCAGCTCAGAGTGTCCTGTTGTATATTATCAGTAGAAGACATTCTGGAGTGTTGTTTTATAATTGTCACATATTTTTTTTATTTGTTTACATATTATCCAACTTTTCGTTTTTTACCCAGTATGACATAAAATTCAAAATTTTTGTCTTGAAAAAATTGTCTTGAAAATACAAAAATGGACATTTTGGAACAATTTCCATAGGAATATTATGTTAAAAAATTAATTACTGAAAAACTGAATTGATAATGTTCGTCGGAATTTTCAAATAATTTCTCGAGAACCCATTTTATAACTACATATACTTTCTCCATCCTACGAAACCGAAACGAACTAAATGTTGGAATATGATGTGACAGCATAGAAACCAAAGATAAATAATCCTATAATCGCCATTTTCATCGATACATTCATGTTTGGAGCGAAAAGTAGTTCGGAGACCATTTCATCTGGGTTACATTAACAACAACGTGAAGCAAGACCATATTGTGAAATCTGATCATTTGTTTAATTGGCAACAAACTACCTTATGGCGCTGAGATTATTTTAATTAAACCGGTCCCAGTTTGTAACTTAAAGCATATCCATTCTCTTGTGCCCAAGCTTTTTGAATATGTTCCTCTGTATTTCTGTGAACACGAGTGAACATCGGGACCAAACTGTATACTATGTATCGCGCACTACCAATCAACATAGGAGTACATAAACGGGTTGTTTCACGATATAGGACGAAAAACGTAACACCTAGGATAAAGCGATAATGTAACCACGTCTTCAAATATGTAAATGAGTAAAAATAATATGTCGAGATTTGGTCCTACACGCATCGTTCCCATGGGACACCGCGACTCGGATCAGGCATAATATAAATATAATATTCTAATTTATTATATTACACATAAAATAATACTGAACGGGGTAATAATATTAACAGTACAGCAATGCGACCAATGACGTAATAGATATATTAACCTCGAATACTTGAATCTAAGCAACTAAATATTTATGGTAACTATGGATATATTGATGTTTGATCGTGCTGTCTGCGTTGTTGTCAAATAACGACGTCAAAACAATAGTGTAATTAATAATACAGTGGGGATAGAAACAACAACACGACGCAATGCAACGCAACGCAATGTATTGTATCAAAGTTGGAAACATTGGTCTAAAACCATCAAATAGTGTTCGTAGTTATTAAGATGTTTAAAAAAATGATGTGGTGGTACGCCTTTTTCTACTTTTTTTTAATTTCACTTTATTTCACTCATGTCGCTACGAGCACCTGACCACTCTAAAAAAATATGTGTTTTTGTTTGACCTTAGGTGGAATATCACGTTCAATATTGACATTTATTTCCCTGTAGATTCGTGTAATGGATATATTTTACATATTCACCTTGTGTATCAGTGCGCAGTTTATTGAAGTTTACGGACAGTTAAACCCAGTAAGTATTCAATGTTAAACTCATACATACTCAAAATATGTAAATCTACGTTTTAGCTTTTTTGAGAGAGAGGGGTGGTGGGGTTACAACTAATAATATAGACCATTTTCCGTTCACAACGAGATTCCGCGTTATGCGTGAAATCGAACGTAAAAACAGGACAAACAAAGGTGATAGCTTCGTAGTGGTCTCAAACATCTCGCGAAAGTATTTTGGGGGATATTTCCATTCTTAATAATGTGCTGTACACATTTGATGATGGTCAATTTCGATGAAGTAATGGTATTCAAACGCAATATTTTCTTAAAGAAATTCGAGTTCAAAATCAAATCGTTCGATTTTTGCGGCAGACATTCGGCGGGCGTCTTTCACGCAATTCGCGAGATCTCGCAGTTGTACGGAAAATCACCTATTGAGGGAAAATGAACGACTATACATAGGGTGAAATAGGCTTTGTAGGCTCGTTCGAAATTCGCGTCAACGTCAAATTTGTTTAAAGTGACACAGTGCACGTTTCTACGAGTTCACTGTGCAATGGATACTGGGATGATTGTCCTAGTTGTCTGATAACAACCGACTACGAACAAGGATAACAAAATAGCGAATAAATATGACGTAATCTGACAAAGCATATGTTAATGGCATAGTCCCCGTCAGCTGAATTAACTTACGTCTTGCCTTTGTATCTACTTTGTTCAATATATATATATATTTACATAGCCGCCAGTTGGCCTTTTTGAATCAAATCACTAAGCACGCCTAGGGGCACCAATAATCCAGTGAGTTGACATGAGTTATGTCAAAGCCAAGTTTGAACGAAATCAGCACAGGCACGCATGGGAAATGGTTGATAAATCGTTTAAATGTTGTTTTCGTGTTTTGGGGACAACAGTAGCTGTCAATCTGTAAACAAACAATCAAAAGGGAAGGTAAATCGACGGGCACATGTCGGCCATTATGACTTGTCTTTTTACAAATTTCCAACAAAATTTATCCAGGCATGTCCGATTCATTAACGCACTCACGGAAACATATAAGCCTTCATTCCGAAGTACTGATACATTACTATAGAAAAAATGGCCCGCCATTTGAACGGCAGTATCATCTAATATAGCATTGTTATGTATGTATTGATTGAGTGTATGAACTAATTAATATTCATACCAGCCTGTTATTAAAGTGAAAACATTTCTGAAATTTAAATATTGACATTTCAGCTTGAAAGATAATTAGATATGTTACCTGTGGTAAAATTGCTTAGCAAGAAGCGACTCTTCGATGCCATGTTGTGTTACCAACTTAGACACTGTCTGCTTCAATTTGGAGAAGAATAAGAGACGGTCAACTTAATTTCGCCAGCAAAAGTCATTCTCGTCTTAATTTCCATCCACACCGTGATTGGCCGCTCTGCAGCCATGACCATACCTGCTTGACGAATCTACCTTTTCAGCAACACACTGGCACTTTCAGACCGACTGTTTTAAAATTATGGCAAATGACACAATGGCCTGCCTCTTATTACTGAAGAAATCACCAGCTTTGCCGCTATCGCAGATGGCAGTGTTAATTACTTGGTCGGTGTGAATACATCATCATCTAACTGCATAGCATATCGTAATATTATCACTTTTTTCTTACTCTCCTTAGACACCAAGAAAAGATGCGGAAGGTAAAACATAACATTGTTATTTATAACCATTTGTGACGTGTTATTACATAGCTAGGACAAACTCACCGGAGGTCTACTTCGGCCACGTCAATAAAAGCGCCATCTTTACCGAATTTCTGGATCCACCATTGATTGGTGTTTCAGTTACCCCACTTTTCCTGATTTGTAGAACAATATGTACATTTTGTTTTAATATAAAAATGCATGGCTTCAAAACTTCATATGTTATTATTTGTATCTCTCTATAATAAAGTGTTAATAATATAGATCTTGTGTATTTATTGTTAAACATGTTGAGATAATTGTTGTTTTATCGTATTGTAACAATGCATTATGATTTATAACCGTAAAATAAATACGTTTTTTTTTCCAGCATATAGAAATATTCGTTCAGTGAAATAATATTATATCGTCATCGCTGTACACACCAATGGCGCATGCGCATTCCCCATATTTGTTCGAGCGAATACAACTATAGTTGATAAATTATATTATTATACATCTGTTACCGTAACGCCATAAGTTACAGCATGCCGTAATTTTGCGGTATTTTACGGGGTATTTTCATTCTACCATATAAGGAAATGCGATTTCCAAATATGGAATGATTACGCGCGTAAGTGTCCTCTAATAATAAAATATATGGACTCAGACAGTACGCCTCGCATCGACCTCCGCTGCGCGTCGGTCGATACTCCAGCTGTACTGTCTTCGTGCATACTTTGAGGTATTCTCGTAATAACGTCATATTATTCAAATCAAAATACAATAACAAAAAACATTATTTGAACTTCCAAAAAAATACAAAGCTTACCCGTGGTCATTTGCATCACTACCGTTGTCACGTGACAATTATATATTTTCTCTATAATACTATACCAGAGTACCTGTGTGAATGCATATATTTTGTATTCTATGCAAGCTATGACGGTTAAATATCCTACCGTCAACTAATTGTTCAGAAACTGATATTTTAAAAAAAGGTCATCAAATCTATCAGTGTCCGAAATAATATACAATTTGGAAACAAACTTAATTTGTAGAAATTTACGCTGCAGCTCGGTGTATCTCAATTGGGAAAATGCTAGTTCAAGGGCCCATTATATTTTACCCCGGACGCGTCTAGAACTGGCTGTTGAAGTTTGGTTTGGTTTCCCTATTTTGATCATTGTGTCGTTGTTTTCATCGCTAAAAAATACGGGGAAATAAATGCTTATATAATATTATAACAATGACCCTGGTTGAAATCGGGTACACTATTCAGTATTGAAAAACTCAACGTACGTTTCGACGGTTTTATGTGTAAACGAAACGTTCTTAGCGAAGTGATGTCTACGCTCTGGAAAAGCCAAAATTGCAAAGTAACAATGAGAATTATATAGTGATTCCTACACAATGTACGAAAAGCGTTCGCGTTTAATAGAACGCCTTCGCGTCAATAAAATTAGTATAGTGTCAATTGTATAATAATGAGCATTACACAGTGCTGGCTCCGTATATTCAGTCGGCATACCTTAATTTCAAAACTGGGGCACCCTTAATTTCAAATCCCACTTACCCCTTCCCTCTGAAAGTGTTTCTTGTGAATACGCCATTTATCTTCGTAAATGTGACATACTTCTTGGATTCTAGCATCGGGGCAATTTAATCTGTTTATAAAAGTAAGCAGCATGTTTATGAAGATAATTACACTTCGCGTTTCATTTCAGTTGATCTAAGCACCCGTATCGTAGGAGGACAAGAAGCAGCCCCCCATGCGTATCCATGGCAAGCGTATTTGATAAAACGTTTGCAAGGCAACTGGCGTTTCACTTGTGGTGGAATGCTTATCGACAGGGAATTTGTACTGACTGCCGCCCATTGCATAGAAGGGTAAGTGTCCTGCAAACTTTGATTTCCGCAATAAGTTCAATTTATTTCCTGTTTAACATTAGAGTTGTTTGAATTTATCTCGTATAACAGAATAACTACAAGGATTGTGTGAACAATTTTGTGATACGAAAGTTGAATTAAATGGGTCAATAAACCTCGGTGTGTTTTCAAGGCATACTGTTGATTGTATTGTATGAATTTTGTCTCGTAAACAGCAAACTAATTACTCTCTGAAACCGTGATTATATTATGAATAGCTTCTAATTCAAAAATAAATGCAAGACATTTAAAAAACGGGACATTGTCTTGTAAACTTAATTCAATAAATTAGTGGATATCCCATGGTAACGGAAAAATGATGCTTCGTTATATCTCTATATTCAAGCCACACAGTCATTTATGAAACGATACACACAAACACACACAAATATTTCTAATAAATTGTTCACAGACTGAACGCGGATAGATATACATAGTTTCCGAACTACTTTCCTCACTAGGATTAGATACTCATGAAAGATTTCGTCACGGTTCTGTTACACACGACAAACACAATCATGTACACTTACAAGATGAGTGATTATTTATGTTACAAATTATTTAGAATTTATTGAGAGTACTATTTATTTGTTTTCGTTTTTACATTGGTTCTCATGGAAACTGTCACACTGTTTAAACAAAATGTTGCGATAAATTATATGAGTGTGTTTAAACAATTCGATTTTGATAAGACAATATTGTCCAATTTTTCATAAAACAAAACTTTTGTTTTAATAGAAGCAAACATAACTATTGGTTCGATGCAAAACTGACAAACTCTAATGCGCATGCGCAGATTTACCTATACGTACATATTATCAAAAAACTTGTCTTTGCAGAATTGCGTCTAACGAAAACTGCCATAATTATAACTTTTCATCAAAATCATTCAAACAAGCCCAAAATTCTTAAAGTTATCGATATAACCAGACTTGTATGTATGTATACCGTAGAGTCTCGAAGCGTAACCTCCAAGTGGTGCTCGGTGATCACGATATTACAGTTACTGAGGGCACGGAGAGGTTTCACGAGATCAAAAGCATACTGATTAATCCTGACTATGATCCTTACACATTCGACGGAGACTTCGCTCTTCTGCGACTCAAGAATGCGGCTACTCTCAACAGTTACGTGGACGTGGTGACTCTGGCTGACACATTCAATGACTCCGGGGAGTGTGTGATTACTGGTTGGGGTAACGCCATCAAAGATGGTGAGTTATTAATTTTCAATGCACGAGATGCATGTTGTTTTTATTAGACTAGACGTCGTCTATTATCGTGAGATTTTGACAAATCTACAAATACTAGACTAGTGAATCGGTCTGGAGCATGGAACTATAAACCATTTTTATAGTTCCATGGTCTGGAGGGTTGTGTCTTACGTACGAGTCAGTCTGCGCATGCGAGTTCCCATGGTAATGTACTGAAGTCATGAAGACAGCGAATCAGTGATTAGAATTTTGTGCCGTCTATGTATTTACGTTGGCCATTCGTGGGTGCAGACCATTCTTGAGTGCTCTGGGAAGGGCACACTGGGATTCTAGGCTAGGTTCTTATGGTCACCCCATTTGAAAACGTATTGAACTTATGTAGAAAACTGTGGTGCATCTCAAATGGGAATAATAATTTGGGGATGATGTGGGAATAAAAAACATTTCTGTCATCTACCAGACATAATCAAACACACGCCCATAAACCTTAACAAAAGTTTCCAAAGGTTTTGACCTTCCCACGGAGCCGTGACAGTGAGACGCTCATCCAGGATACAGATCGAGTATATACTCCGCCGTAACAACTTCTACAAGTTCAGGTCTACGGTTTAAACTGAACATACTGAACTGCCTCTATAGAGTGAATGTGGTAAATGTAGGCACGTACCATGCAACTACTTTTAGCTAAGTTTCTACATTTGATTTAGTTTCTGCATATAATAGCGTTCACAAGAATGTGATTTAGAAACATAATCTTCGATGGGCGATAATAGGGAGTCTCCAGAGCTGTAACAATTGTTCTCACAATTCACCATTCAGTCGCGCCCTCTACAATGTAACGATTATGTGACGTCAATGCGTGCAAGAGGGACATCCCTCCCAGCGTCGATATTGTTTTGATCTGCTGTCGTCTGCCAACAAAACATACTGCCTACATATTTACTATATTGGCGAACTAAATAACATAGTTGTATATCAAAATGACGTTGCTCACACCTATTACGTCATTTTGACGTCACAGAAGTGCTTCGCCACCAGGGGGTGTGACTTTGTTATTTTGTTTGTTCTTTTCAAACGTTTGGCTGCAGAGAATCACGTTAGGTAATATGTGAAGTACGGTCTATGTTTTTTGACAGGTCCACAGTTTACAGTCCTACAAGAGGCGGCCGTCACTATAGTTCCTGTGAGTACATGTGAAAGCATATGGAACTCGTTCAATCCGATTACTGATACAATGATGTGCGCAGGAAATGGTGCGCAAGGTTCTTGCGAGGTAAGCATGTACAGTGTCTTCAAAGATGTCCGTGGACCATTTTGGGTTCACTGCGAGATCCCGCGTTATGTGTGAAATAAAGTAAAAACAGGACAAACCAACGTCATAGCCTCACATAGTAGCGTCCGTCGAAAAATCGTATGGGATTCGAAAAAATAATGCGAACGTATTTTGGGGGATATTTCCACGCTCAATAATAAGCTATACAATTTTGACGAAGGTAAATTTTAATAAAGTAAGTTTATCTTAACGCAATATTCGATCCGCGCATTACGCGAGATCGGAAGTCTGAGTGAGCGGGAAGTAACCTATTGGTATTCTGCCGATAAGCACATTTCATCAGAAACTAAGAATTATGTTCGCTGTGCAATATAACAGGATTTTGTAGTGCTTTTTAAAGTTTTGTATTGTGTTAGTACTGTAGCATACCACTGTTAGGATTTTCGCAATGAACGCTGGGAGTGAAAGTGTATATTTTGTCAAACAGTTACTATTATGCTCTCGTGAATGTCTTGCAAAATATGTTTCTATGGTGAAACTATTTTTTCATATATATAAAAAAATGTTTCGGTATTGTTATTAACATTGATTAGAATTTTTTTAATAAAGTACGTTAATGGTATTTTTCTGATACATTCAATACATTGGACATTGGACCTGATCCAAATTCGTGCTCGCGAGTTACCGGTGTCGGCGCTGACATCTGCCGTTTCTTGGAGTTTAAGTTGTTCGCATTAGTGTCCATACGTTAAATGAACGAGTTTAATCAATTTTTATAATTTAATATGCAATTATAGATGGAAAATATCACAATTATATTCATACTTTAATATACAATACTATATCATTTGGAAAATATTGATAATGAGAGATGTTCTGAAGATGTTTATATATCATGTGACCTGATAATCATTGTCACAATCACACTGTTTTTAGGAATTTGTGCCCTTCAGGCAAAATGTACATATTTTATTACGTAACAAAACACTTCGCGATAGGCGTCTTTTGTGGTATTATTTACGGGAAGTATTTGTTCACAATTTTGTAAACTGGCCTAGCAATTCCCATCACCCATTAGACAATGTCACAGCATTTCGGCTGTTTTTCAACAAATCTAAATCACTCTCGATAATTTTGATAATTTGAAGTTTTGGTAATTTTAAAGGGTATAAACGTACATTCACAAAAATACCCATAAAATAGGAAAATTTAGTATATAGCTTTGACAAAAAAGCATTATTTTTCATAATAATGCATTTTTTCGATCTGTGTAACTACATGTGGAAATCCTAATGAGATTCAAAGTTTAGTTGACAACTGTCGGTTTTGCAATATTAGGGTTTATCAACTTGTCCATGGAGGCTGCATTTTTTTTATATAAATATTGTATTCACTGACATTTAGCAAAAGATTCACAGTTCTGTATCTTTTTCTTACTGATTTGACAACACTGTGTAGTGTAGATGTTTTTTTTTTTGTCGATTGCAGTCAGTTGTTTGTTTTGTGTTCTTGGAATGTACACAAATCAACAACGGTTAAATAAGTATATTATTTCCACTTAGAAAGCTAAAAGTCAGTTGTCCGAGCCGCAGAACTAAAACATTCTGTCAGCCGTCGCCGTTCACAGAAGCGATATGATTTTACACATCGAAATTCAGAATCGCAAGTGTAGACATATTGCATAGAAATGAACACTAAATACATCTATCCCAACCAGCAATCGAATCATCAATCTTCATGAGTGATGTAACTGGTATTTCCATCTAATGTATTTGCTTCTATTCCCACTATCATAAAACGCTCAAGTGAATGTTGTCAAATTCGTATGTGTGCGTTGCTACAATAAAAAAACAGGAAATACATTCTGGGCTATTACCATTGTCAACTTGAATTTTTTAAGAGTAGAGGACTATTTATACTGGGGACGCGCCAGTAAGAAATTGTTAAAATTGTCCTATTGGCATACCAAAATTGAAACAGAAAATATTCTGTATTCACTAAAAAAAACTTATGTTACGTTTTTATACTTACAACGAACTCGAAACAAAAGAAACAGTCCGATCCAAACAACCTGCGTCCTAGAAAATCGGGTCTTACCGCCCTTGCGTTTCCGAGCAAAAATACGTCGATGCCAAAAACGACCGATTTTCGCCAAATCTTCTATGATTTTTTGATAATATCATTAATTCAGTAAAAAACAAAATTGGCGATGTAAATCACTCTCGGCGATAATAGCCAAGGGACTGGATTTTCAAAAACATATTTCATATACAAGGTATATCAAAAGCAAAGTATCAAAAGCATAATAATCTCATTTGCATAATTAATATTCATGAGCAATGAAAAACTCTTTTCAAACTGTGCTAAAATGATTTCTTATAGCTAACATTTCCAACTACCATGTTTTGCACAGTTTCACTAAAAGGGCGAGTTTTTCATTGCTCATTAATATTAATTCATGCAAATGAAACGATTATTTCAGCCAATCGTGTCATGCAACTCCCCCTGGATACGCGTTACTTATCATTATAGCTAATTTGCATATATATGATCTACAAGTTCCTTTCGGTTAACGCAGTTTATGTTAAAGTCATCCGGTTACGTTATTCAGTTTAATAAATAGTTTTACATGTTTGGTTAATTAAATGAAATATACCAGTAGATGATTTGCGCTAGAAAAGAAAAATCTTTCAAAAATGTCAAAACATTGGATTATAAATAAATGACTAACTTTATAAAGTGACTAAAAGCATTGTGTTCTATGACTGTTAAACGCGGAGAATCGAATTCGCTCAAGACTGAAACATTTTAGAAATATTCACCGAAAATCAGATAAACGAAATTGTTTAGAAAATCCATTTGAGTGCAATTAGTGTTTAAAACGGGGAGTCGTCACCTGCGCATGCGTCAGAATGCCAGAGCGTGTCATTGTTAACAAACAAGCGTCCTCCCGTAAGCTATTGCGTTTTTAGCGTGTGTTGTTATCGTCGCTTGGGACTCAATTTCCGCGCGTGCGCAGGTGACGACCCTCCCGCTTTAATATTTCGTTCCCAGCTAGTAGGTACGTAAACAAACCGATGTTTTTCCACAGTTTTAGTGTATCACGTGTGACATTACCTTGCACAACGCAGTCCCCGATAAAACTGTTAGCGATTCCACAGTAGTTAGACATTAATAATTAATATTAATAAATAAGTTCATTCAGCCATTTTCAGACTTGTAAACAAGTCTACCCATACACAGTATTGAGTACATTGTATTTAGGCAATGTTTAGACGAAGTATGTATACAATTTACAGATAAATATGTAGATGTTGACGATGACGATTGCGTTTACGTCTAGAAATTGACATGAACCATTGCCATTGCATATATAAGGGAGTTCATATGTGAAACGGAAAGCTCAACTCAAATCCCAGTAGTACCTTCTATTATATTACATTTTCCATACTGGTCAAAACGTAAAACATTTTTTTTTATCTTGTAGGGCGATAGCGGTGGTCCAATGGTTTGTTTTGAAAATGGTGTCTGGGTGGCGCATGGCATTACGAGCTGGGGCACAGAACAATGTGGAGTAGACGGTATCCCGGATGTTTACGCTCGAATCAGTAGTATACACGCGCAAATCATGTCGATCATTTCTGGTGGTGGTGGTGGCGGTGGTGGCGGTAACGGTAATGGCGGGAATGGTAATGGTAATGGTAATGGTAATGGCAAAGGCAAAGGTTAACCCGCTACTTGATCAACAGTCTAAATCCTATCACTTACGTTATCTCGCGAGATATACACCTATGTAATCTTGCGAGATTTCATCTACATGTAACGCACTGTGTGCAATAAACAATTTTCTTCCAAAATATTCCAGTCTTTTCTCATAAAATAAAAAAAAATGTTTCATACATGTTTCATGAAAGATTGCTTGGGAATGTGACAAATGAATATGACAGTGAGTAAAGAAATACAAACTAATTGATTTATGTCCAATGTGAAATCAAAATAAGTTATTGCGCCCTCACTGATATACGAGTTTAATTGGCATCGGTAATGGGAAAGTAAAAATACCATCGAGCTGGGGGTCTTTATGTAGTAGTATACGAGTTTACGTGACAACGCGGACAGCTCGCAAGTTGTGTATCTTTCACCAGCGTAGTTATTTTCACGAAAACAATGTGAAAGTGAAATGTCCCTACCTTTTTTTATTGTTTAATATTCCTGTATGTTGATAAATAAAATGGACTGAAATTTGTTATTTACTGTGAATGCTGTTCTTGTCACAACCATCTGAGTAATCGTTTAGTGAAACAATGCAACACGCATGCGCAGCGGCTATTATGGTACGTACAATAACAGTCAGTGCACATGCGTATTAGTGTTTTTTTTCACTCACCGTCCAACAAATTCTGTGCATGCTACAAAAAAATATTAATAATTTACAATAAATCATGATCTAATTCGGTCATCAACATTCAGTATCAAACAACAATATTACAAAAATATGTTTTCGCCCATATTGCATCTTAACTATTAGTCAATATCACAAAAAGTTGAGAAGATAAATGTTTATCATTTATTAAATGATTCTTTTGAATACATACATTACATTCATTTTAATTTGAGACGGCCATACATCCTCTCGAACAGAAAGCAAACATTTCCCTTTTCTACCGTATGTGGCACGCTTCACTGGTAGTGTACGCGTAATTGCAAAAAAATAATGTGTGTGATGGCCGTCAATTCAGCAGTGAATGTAAGATGCGCTCAATACGTGAACGCCCTGGTGGTTCCTAGCCTAGTAAAATAGTGACTGTGCCATGGAATGTGTCAATGTAAATTGCCAATTAAATTTACTAAAACTAAATTTCGATAATTATGATATGGCTAAGATATTACGCTTTACCCATAATCCTTTGCTGGAGAATCAACATGGTGGACTACATAACACCGATAAAAAGTTAAATATCTAGAGAATGAAAAAAAAAGGATATAAAACTGTAAATTGAGTTCTGCTGAATTTTCTCTGAGAGCATTATCTTTGCTCGGATTTCCCTTTTAATGATTCTAGCTCTTCTAGAATCGATTATTATAACCTCAGACAACCAGTAATATTGGTTATCCGAGTTTTAACACACGATTTAGATGATAAAAACTAAATATTAGTGTCAGACATTGGTCGTCGCAAAACCAGTTGAAGAATTTCTTACGAAGGCAGACGATTCGAATATTCTTTGAAAGCCACAGAATGATTCAAGTTGATCAGTGAATATCTGCGTCCTGATTGGTTGAAAATGTAGGTCGTATAGGATTGCGTGAGAATTTATTTTGAACGAACTTATAGACCAACAGATAATCAAAACATACAGCGTACTTATGACAGTGTGGTCACATTAGGGTTGCCGATGCATTTGACTGGTAAGTGTTTATGGGTAAATCTGGCTACGGTATTATGCCGATTAAACTGGGTGGGTGATGTACTAGTATAAGGTACATTGCGCTTGGGAAAGAGGATATTCCAACTACTATATGCACAGGGCCTTAACGCCCTCGACCGAATAATTGCATGTGTCCCGTTTTTTTTTTATTTAGAAATTCCATTTTCCCTGGAACTGTAAAAAAATCAAATTATCGGCAATGAATCGTATTCTCCCATCCCAGTTGTTTACACACTCGCGATCGAAAATTAATTCGTCTCAACTCTTCAACTCTTATGTACCGATGAGGTGTACTTTGACCTGTACCTGCAATGTGAACTTAAACGTGTGTCAGCACTGACAACGTCGTGTGTTAAATGAGGGGGTGAAAAATATAATAAATATACCGACGTCCAACCCAGTGAAAAGTTCTTCAATCAGTCTAACAACATTGCCTTTTTTGACACAAATTAAATTGGCTTAAATTGACGTTGATATTGTTTTAAAATATTTACTGTAAAATGAATGTGTTTTTTTTTGAAATTTGTGTTTACTATGTCAAAGCAATCACCGGTATTGTCCGCTATCAATTTAAGTCCAGTATAAACTCATTGTAAATTGACCTCTAAGGGATACTTCAGGACATTGAGTGGGCGATTGTAGAATTTAAAGAAAAATATATGCACATAATAATTTTTTGAAAAAAGTAAATTCCACAGGGAAGATCACAAAACAAACATGTATTTATATAACAAATAATCCACAAGAAAAAAGCAAAAACAAATTACAACATCACTATGAAGAAAATTAGCTCAAAAATAGATGACAAAATAATCTGCAACTAAATCTACCGCCAAGAGTTTCTAATGGTCAACTCCAAAAATTAAAGTCTTTCCGAAAAACTTTCCTTCTTTTGATGGGCGGTGGCTGGAAACTCGTTTAAAATTTTCAAAAACGCAAGTGGATAACGCGCTAATACATCATTTCTACAGATCGCACCATCTAATGGTAGGCTCTGTTTTGACGTCATTATGGCGTAATGGATAAAACCAAAGTCGTTCAAGTCGACAATCTGACAATGTAGCCATAGTTTGCTGCACCCAAACACTATCTTGAGAGATAAGGAATCTGCCATCGTGGTCATTCATTCATTCACTAACTCACTCACTCACTCACTCAGTGGTCAGGCGTATCATAATTAATGGATTTTTTAAAGAACAATCATTGGTAAAATTGGTGTTTGGTACTACACTGGCCACGGGCAAGTAGTACTATGAAGAGGTCATGAGAAAAAACACTGGGAGTCAAGTGTCTATCTCTCATGTGATTTTAAATAACTACTAGTATAACATATTTTGGAAACTTATATAGCAGAGTGTCGCAATTTCTTTTGTTCTATTGATGCATAGGTTTCATTGCTTTTTCGCATTGTGAATGATAATAAACACATTTTCCCACACATTTTTTTCTACTTCAACAGAATTTCAAAACTGAAACAAACGATCTAAACTGTAAACGCTACGATCACCATAGTCTTGTCAGCTGACAGCATTGCAATGCAATTGACAACCCCTTCAGTGACGAAATACGCAAACATAATATCCTCGGTTAATTAAAATAATATCCTCGAAATTACACCAAATTTGGCAACAAGATGTTGCTTTTAATCATCGCGAGAAAATCATGCACTCTGTGCTGCCATCTTGGTTACCTCGATCGGCACCCATTCGCCAATGGTTTGCGATATCCAATTCTAAGGTACTATAAATGAGGTATTTCCAGGGGCCAGCGATCGTCTCATTTTATCGAGCTTTTCGCCTGCAGCTGGATAAAACCTGCTTCGATTTACCATAGTTTTCTTTTTAATGCGACTTAATTTGGAATTTGTTTTCTGTCGTATATAATTTGTGTCACCGGCGATTGAGTAGTTAAAGGGCGGTGGTCGTCGCCCCTGTTCGATCTGGGACTTGTGAAATACATCGTTGGTTAACATAAAATTCGAACATGCGCAGGTCGACGACCACAGCCCTTCATTACTGAAAATACTAGTAACTGTGTTTTGGCAAATCGAAATAGACAGGCATGACGTTGCGTTGTGATACTTGGTATTGTCTCATTGTATTCGAATTTCAAAACGCCGTATTTCAAGTTGTATTGCTAACGAAAGCGGGTTACTATTCGATCAATGCATTTTATTGTTTTAATAAAATGAGACACTTTTAAACGAAGCAATTTGAGCACCATTGGTTTAATTTCAATCGACACGTGCAGATGACAGTGTCCAAGCGTCATGGGATATTCATTCTATGTATTGTCATCTTTGTCATCAAATGAAATTTTCAATTTTTTTGAATATGAAAACTTTAAATACAAACATACAGACGACTACAGATCAAAACAATATGAACGATTAGTTGTACCATTTATGTAGCAGTGACTCTTCATCTCTAGGGGGCGCTATTTATGAAACGGTATTCTTGAAATCTTTGTGATTATATTATTGGCGAAATCATGTTCACTTCAGAACAATACATTCGTAAACAATGTAAACAAATATCTGCTGCTTTATTTAAAAATCTGAATGCAAAATATTGCTGCACTGTAAAGTAAATTAGGCTCTGGTATTCACCAGTGGGTTCCCCGCCCTTTCCTCAGCGCGAGAAAGATCCGCAGACTTCTACGATGAAGTTGGAAAGTGTGAAGTCAGTCTGTGGTCGAGAATATCACGTCTGAAATTTCTTTAGAAATAATTTCCAACGGACGCAATTTATGTATGAAGCAATCAGTAGCACCCTGGGCTATATCCAGCCAAACTGGACTGATCACACAACGCGATCATTTCTAGGTATTCACTCCGCGAAGCCATTTTAGACGAAAGTCAATGTCATCGTAAATTATCGTAAATTATCACAACGTGCCAATCACGCCGTGTTTCGATCGTGAGACCACGGTTACTACGGTTAGTAACCGTGATGAGACCTAATGGCGTTCACGAAGAATGGCGAGTACTTGGTCGACCAGTGTCTGCATATTACGCAGGGGTGGATACAAGATTTTTTTTATGGGAGGGAGGGTCCAAACTTTAAAATCGCCAGACTAAGTTAATGATTTTTTTATATTATACAAAAACAAATTGAATAAATTTTTAATCGAACCACCCCCCTAGATCCGCCACTGTTACGTATGTAGTCGAGACAGGCGCTTGCTGACATTTTGATGATGGTTAGATCAATAAATTCCTGATTATTTTAGTTACTGCGATAGGTAGTAACTACATCATTGTCCTCCCACGAAGGAAATGGTTCAGGTCCGTGCAACCTTATCATCTTGACTTGAAGATACGTACGTTAAAGGTCGGTGGTTGTCGTGCAGCGCGTCTTCGAATTTCATGTAACCAAACAATGTATTTAACATGTGGTGTGTAC